TAAAGTTTTTTAACTCTTTTTCGAAACATCAAAAACCACACCAAACTGAAAGAAGATGATTTTACATTTAATTAATGAAGAGCATGCAAACAACTTAAATGCTTTTGTTTGTGTTTACTCTTTAAATAAAAAAAAATGATTAAAGGCCGGCATCGATTATTAATAACAGCTCAAAGAAAGATTAATTTAATGTTTGGAAGGTTTCAAAGTATCACTCAATGAATGAATCACAGCATATACATAAATAACCAATTTTAATTTCTTTTTTTTGAGTTGGGAGGACGTAACAAACCCATCTATTGTAATTATTTATGAAAATTTAATTATCCTTCCTCCAAAATTTATTTATTTATAGAAAATTAAACCCTTCAAGTTACAATATGGACAACGAAAAAAGTAAAAATCTAAATATTTCATATTTCTTTCAGGACTGTAAATGGCCTTAAACAAACAGTTTATAATTAGTGTGCAGAGTTATTTGTTGCTAGAAAATTGTCTGGATGATTAATGCTTTTTTATGAGAACGACTTAAAGGCATGAACAAAACAGAAACGAGAGTGAGAAACAAACCTCTATTAAAATTTAACACTTTTTAACAACAAATCTATCCTATAGAAAGCCGTACTCTCGTGGGGCTATTTTAATGATGATTGTAAAACTATAGGAAACAAATAAACTTTAGAAGTGCCAGCATTTAAACTTTCAATTGCGTTGAAGTGTTTGTTTCCAGGAAAATTAATTGTAACGAACTTTAACGACGCTACTGCCCTTAGAATCTTTATATCAAATCACTTGAAACAGTGCAATGATTTCGCCTATAGTCGCATTTGAATGTAAATATTTACTCAACTGTAAAATCAAATTAAATTAATTATACATTCCGTACAACGTCAATGATATGATTGAGATACAAATTTACTCTCTCGATTTGCCGCAAACAACACTTGATTCACTTTCAATCATTTTTCCAACTTACGATTAAAATAATAGCTTTAGAGCTAGGAAATCGAATCAGTAACATGGACATTTAGTCTACAACATATCGACAACAATCTACAACAAAGTAAAATTAATGGTTTTTTATTGTAATATCATGAGGCTTGTAAAATAACTTTAAATGTATTTTATAACAAATTTAATTAAACTGTAGTATAGAATTATCTATAAAGTTTTATATTAAAATATGTTATTGATATTTAAATGGAAAAGAAATATTTATGAAAACAATTTTATGAACTTTGGCGTTTTCGAATGGAAAACTTTCATCTTTAAGTACCTGAGGCATTAAACATCTCTTAGATATTCATTTCTTTCACTAAAAAGTACTTCCTGAAGCATCTTTTACATAAATTAACTTTCAAATTATTCAACTACTTTAAATGAGCAATAAAGCTTTTCATGTAAATCATTACCTCTTTATCTCATTCCTAAGCACCATTCTGAAGTATTGTTCATAATTTTCGGCACAATTTTGATGTACGTGTTTGTAATTTATGGGGCAGTTTCAGTTGCTGCACATTAAGTCTTTATTCAACCTCAAATCATCCTCAAATTTCTAAATCTTCATGAAAATAAATGAAAAATTTCTTAAAACTTGTAAATTTCTTCAGACACGAACATTACGTCTTCATGTAAATAGAATGAAATAAATATGAAGGCCTAAGTGGATATAAATTCCCAATTTTCCATTTAATTTTTGTTTGAATTGTAAGAATGTTTAAATTTGATCTTTTAAATTTTTAAAAGTTCTCTTGATGGTGTAAATTTGATTGTGGACAAATTTATATTAAATTTATATACAAAGTTGTAGTGGCAACATTTAATTATACATACATCGCTCATTTTTATGTTATTTCTTTCCATTTTCTCTTTGTTGAGTTTACAACCTAATTTAACATTTATTTGATGCAGTTAAATTTTTGCAAACATTATAAAATAAATAAATTTGATATGATCATTTAATATCATCACTGCTTTGTTAATTCCACAATTCGATAAAAATACTTAGAAGTAATAAAAAATATCTTCCGATGTATATACACAGGAAAACAAGAGTCATAATAATTGTTTATTAATTTAGCATAATTTATTTTATTGCCAACAGACCAATTATTTAAATATTTAGTATTCCATTCACATTTAACTATGTTTTGTGTAATAATCGTGCATTCAATAGTTGTTTGCATAAGCTTTGTACTGGCCAACACATGCAAAAATAAATTGGCCAGATATATGCTACATTTGTATTAAAATCAATACCAACGATCATAACTAAAAAATGTGAGAATTGAAAATTTAATCTAAGTAGATATTTAATTTGGAGAAACTTCAGAAGTTGCGAAGATTATACAGCAACAATGTTAAATAACTGCAGTAGCTTCAGGTTAAATTCAAATGAAGATTTGTATTCTGTTTACCATCGTTTTTGTATGCATATCTACTTCTCTTAACTCTTGTATCAAATTCCTTTTCACAAATGAATGTTCAATTCTCTTTTGAAATCAAGTTACAGGGAAAAGCGATCGATATAATGTAAAAATAGCATCAACATCAAGATCAGTAACACAAAATAATTACAATATTGAGACTGGAATCATGGTGTAATATCAATAATAAATATTGAGGTGATTTTTCTTTAACATGAAATGAAAATCTCTTCTTACCTCTTTCTGTGCTTACTTCGTTCCTTCCTTTCGTTATTTTTCTTTTCCTTCGTTTATGAAATGCTTTATTCTTTACCGATGATTTGTTTAGTGCAAATTCTTGAGAGTGGCAATTTAATCAGTAATGTTAGCTTCACGATTATTGCAGTTTGTAATCACCTCAAACATCATCGGAGGATTAAAATACGTGCAAAGAGACGGGAGTCGAAAGATTAATTGGCTTTTCTAAAGAAAAATTTATGGTAATTGAAAATGTGTCATTCATTCAAGCCCTGATGAGCTCTCGTTATACGTGAAAATCATTTGAGAAATTAATTGATTGAAAATTTTATTGAAAAAGTGCAACATGATGAAAGGAGAGCCCAAAAAATCACCGACACCTTCTCATTTCGCTCTCAGCAATTACACCTCTGACACCACCAGACCAAAGCATTTTTCCGAAATCATTTTTTATTATCGCACTCGCTGCATCTTTTTAACTGTGCTTTCCTTATTATAATTTTAAACATCGCCGTTCCATTGCTTTGACTCTCGTTCTCATCTTAAAACGATTTATTTTTCTTTTTATGCAGCGCTCAATGTGCTGCACAAAATGTAATCGAACTGAGCGCTGTTTTTTCCTTTTACATTTCGGTGTTGAGGTGTTAGCTCAAGACAAATAAGAGTCTAATGTAATTATTGGTTATATATCAAGGCTGCCTTCTTCTTTCTTCCGATGTTATTAATTTTTTTTCGCCTTCTCTTTATGCTCATGCACTTTTCAAGCCAGTTTAAACATCATGGAGTTGCAAAATATGTGATGGAATTTAGCACGAAAAAAAACAAGAGGAAAGAAACGGAATGGAAAACTGTTTATCGGACAGATTTTTCATTCTCTTTGTTGCTTCCTTCATATTAAAATGTGCCGAAAGACCGAAAGATCTTTTTTCTTTTCTTTTCATGTTTTTATTTTGCAAATTTGTTCTTAGTGAGTTTAAATCGTTTTTATTCTTTTTAATGTATTTTATCATTCATCAAACGCATCAATACATGAAACGATGCACATCGAGTCGAGTGTTTTTATTTAAGCTTCTTGACCATCATTCTCTTTTATACACGAAAAAAATGCCAACAAACCAACAAGATGATTTTTTTACACATCAAAACAGTGCCCGAAGAAATTACTTTTTCGGTTTGTTTTTAACGCTTCAAATTATAAGGTGCCTGTCAATATTAAATGTGAATCTTTTCACTTCATATTTTGTTCCAAAAAAGTGCTTAAGAATGAGTCTTAAATTACGTCACATAAAAGAACTTGTGAAATTGTGAATTGACTCACAACAAGAGTGATAAGTAAATGAGAAAATATTTTCTTCTTAGTAGTCGAAACTTTTGAACAACTCCATTTAAACTGGCAAAATCATGTTTGTCTACACAACTTCTTGCTATTGATGTTTAACAGTGTTGATTTTCTCATAAACTTTGACGCTTCTCGATGGTTCCTAAAAAAAGTCATTTCTTATTGCCGACTCTTTTACCTGTAGCTGTGATATGCCTCCTGAAAACAACAGAAATCTGTGTGTTTGAAAAGAATTGAAAAAGTTTATGTTGGTAAATGATCTTTTCTTTTCGGCAACTCAATAGAACAGAATCTCAAAGAGAATCAAATGATAATGCAGCGAAAAGAATGGGAAGACGAAATGCAAGCAAAGTATATAATTTAAAGTTGAAATTGTGTTATAGATTTTAGAGATTTTGGCACTTTAGTTAATTACGGACTTAGCACATTGCAGAAGAATCTTTTCTTATTCTTTTGTTTGCCGTTCTCTTTCACAGTATAAAAAATAATAATTTAATTGAGCATTGTGCCATTTTTCTTCGTAAAGATGTAGGTTTTATAAGGCCCTTCACTTAAATAGTTTAAAAATCATATTTTAGTTTTAAGGGATTAAGTTTGTAAGCTTATCAGATTATGACACTTTCAACTGTTGAGTTTCCATCTTTGTTTTGCGTGCATTTGCCACTTCATGGTTTTAAGATTTCAAGATTCTTATCTTGTGTCTTAAGGAAGCAATCAAAAAATCATTTGCTGATGAGCATGTCGCCAAACATATCCTCAAATATCATTTCACTCAATTCAGGAGATTTTATTAAATTACATTATCCGATTTCCGGATATTATTTAGTGATGATCTTTAAACGAAATTATATTCTCATTCTCTTTCCTTTGAACTTCATGCGATCCCTTAAAAGAAGCCAATGAAAAGGAAAATTGTGTAATTAAAGGTTCACAGGTTTTTATTTGATAAATCATTGTGGCTAAAGAAATAAAAACTCTCCCACAAGAAATGATGCAGTTCAGGGAACCACTGCAATTTGTAATATTAATGTTTGTTCGGTAAAGGATGACAAGAGAATGGGAATCACTTTTAAAGTTTGCCGACGGTTCCTTAAACAGTTTTCATTTGATGTTATGAACTAAAAAGAAAAGAAAATATTCAATCAATGGCATAAATACGAAGACGCGAGAAAAGAAAAATTTCATCAAATTTAAATGATAATTGATGGTGGTTAAATGAAATATGTGAAAATTCGCTGAAAACTTAAGAGATTTTTCTCATTTACAAGCACGAATCTCCTTTTTCTTCTCATTTCTCAACGATGGTGTTTTGTGTTTGCACATCAGTTAAGAAACTCACATAAAAAGCGAATGAAAAGGTTAAAATGAAATCGTTCGCTTGAAATTGAAGAAGTGCGAAGAAGAGAAATGAAAGAACCTGAAAACTCGTGAAAAACAAAACCGCCCAAAACGTGTAAAAAGAATTAAAAAGAATAATGTTGAATACAACGAAAGCCCATCGCCAGTTTGTCTGCTGTAACTCTTTTTTATCTTGCATTTTAACCGCGTCTTTTCTGTCGTTTCAACAGAAACAAAGTTCGGCGTTTCCATGTTGCAAAAACAGAGATCATCTTGCCGACCACAAATGCACAATCATTTTATATATTTTTTTATTATTTTCAAAGTTTTTACATTCTTTGCTCTTCTTAATCGTGACAGAATTGAAAGCCATTATCCATTGTTATTTAACAATTAAAGAAATGAATCTCAATTAGAAATTCCTCTTCTTGTTACGTCCACCATGCAAACTACACAGCATGAGATAATCTGAAAAGCTTCTTCGTTAGATGATTTGATATTCATCTACAATTTGTTGGCAATATTTAAATTATCCTCTCACAAGTAGTCTCGCTGTCTTTAATAGACAATTGACGAATGTTATATTCATCATTCGTGCCCCACGTGAATTGATCAATGAAGCGGCACACAAAGGCAAACAAGGAGAAAGAGAAAAGAGAAAAAAAAATCAATTAAACTTTCATTTCATTAAAAATGGCAGCACATTTCCTTCAGTTGATTTAACTGTGCGAAGAAGGCATATCGCAACCACCCTCTTGGGAATCAGGTTATCCAAACATCAAATCAATCAACCGTTGAATTGGAAACAAGAATTTACTTTTTTCCCACACAGAAGAAAATCCTGTTCCGCATTAAATACACATAAAAGTAACCAAAAACGTCGAAGCCATCCGCAGACAAACAGAAAACAAAAGTGCAATTGTGATACAATTTTCCATGTTGCTTAGCTACGGTTTTAACCAAGCAGTTACCAAACATTCTCCACCAAATGTGCCTTTTTATACTTTTATTTATTTAGCCATTGTATGTTTGTTTGCTTTTTAAGAAAAACGTTCTTGTTTTCTACACACATGTATTCGTTTGTCGTTTCCACTACTGATTTGCTGATAAAATGTTGTTTAAATGAATAAAGCGGCAGCAAAAAGGAAACTCGTAACTTACAATGTGAAATGGAATTTGTTGGCATTTTGAGAAATTTTTGTTTGTTTCGGGTGCCATGTAAAATTATGAACAATGGGTGAATGACTTGATTTCAGAATAAGAGCTTAAATGTCTTTGGCATTGCGATATCGTGAAGTGATTTTTAAAGAAAACATTTTAGTGAGTCATTTTAATACCCTTAGGAAATATTTACTAAAAAGAAGTAAATTATAGCATGTTGTGTAGAAATTCCATACTTTTTGAACGCACATGAAAGCACAAAGTAGCGCGCTCGAAAGGAAATAACAAATATCAATTTCTAGGTGAAAATTCATAACTTCTGATCAAACCCGAACGATAAACATTATTATTAATGAAAACACAGAAAGCATTTTACGCTGTAATTTACTAAACTTAAGTAAAATCACAAGAATTTCTGACCACAAGAATGTTTTCTTTCTATTTTGCTTTTTTTTCCTTTCATGTTGGCAACAGGAAAGCAAAGTCGATCTTTATTTCATTTTTGACATGAATGGGGCGAAAGACGGCCAAGAAGCAAAAAGAAATCAAATATTTGAATAAAGGCGAGATTGATGTTTAAATGACTGAATAACTGATTTATTAAAATGTTAAAACACCAGACTTACGTGCCACGCAAATCGACTTGGCTGAGTTTGATGTGGGAACATTCAATACATATTTATTTTATCCCATAAATTCCCATTGATTAATAAATGAAGCTGGTAACTTTAAGATTGTTCATTCTTGGGAACTTAAAAAGAACTTAAAGATTAACCACAAAAACCAACAGAATGCAATTTAAAATATTCTTGTGGATGGAAAATAAAGTCAGCATCTTTAATGTTACAAAAAAAAAACTTTTTTTTCTTCGCCTTATCCATCAACGTTGTAATCATGCGAAGAAGCCGTCAGCTTTGAATCACTCAATTGTGAATCCTGATTACCAACAATTCTTTAAGCTGGAAAATCATAATTTAGTTTACAACTTTTTTTATTGTTATTCAACTTCATCAAAAAGTCGTAAAAACAAATACTGAGTTGTTTTCTTTTGAATTGACAGGTTCATTATTTTTCATTTCTCAAGGATTTGTAACTAAACTTTCACATTTTTTTCAAGCTTCTATATTTTTGTGATACTAAATGCTTGTAAAAAAATTATCATCTCCTTATTATTTTATATTGAGTATGTCTGTAATTGAGGTGTGAAAAAATATTTAAATATCAATCTCAGGAAAGAGTTAACATAAAAAAAGGAGAAACAAAATCAAAGAACATAACACCGCATCATGCGGAAAGTTGAAACATAACCGAAATCATTGAATGAAGAAAAGCATCTCTTATTACTCTTCTACTTACTCGTACCACGATCTGATTCTTCCCTCCTTTTTTCGGGTTCATAAACAAAAATTAATAAGTTATTTATAACCACTTATACATTATACGAAGAGATTATTTATCGGGGGAGCATGAAAAACATAATTTGAGCACTAACATTTCTGCTCTTCCACAAGATACATGTTGATGGCATGTTAGCCCGGAGTAATCACACCTTTTCATACCACAATTATACATGGAATTTTATAAGCGTGTAATTTGTGATTTTATTTTGCTTGGAAATTTTGGAGACGGTAAAAGCTGAAAGAAAGAAAGGGAAGTTGTATCGTTTAGATAATAAACTATTGCTGATTATATTTGACACTTACTTCATAATAAATTTTTAATTGAAAAAGAAAAACTGGATAATAGATTCCATAGCTCATAAATTTCATCATCTAAACATCGACTAACCGTGGATGGGTACCTGAAGGGGATATCTAAAAGAGGAAGAAAAAAGAGTACAAAAGCAATTCAACATTGTGAGATTAAAATGCCTATTTACATAGATAATTTGATTTTTTTTCCTACATCTTTTCTTGCTCTACAGTAAAAGACCATAAATATTTTATTGTTGATTGGATTCGGTTGGAAGCTCTCTTTGAAGGCATCAACACAGTTGGGTGAAAATTGTTTTTTGTTTTCTTTTCTACTCGCCTGCCATGCCGCAAACAGCGACAACATTCATGATTTCCAATTGAAAACATGTCGATTTACAAGCGACATAAAACAGAAAGAAAAAGTTTCGCTGTCGGTTTTTGTATTCCTTGAAAGCTGCTGGGATGATGAAAAATGATCATTGAAAGCTTTTTATGACATTTTTCGCACCGATTCTGTATTTCAACAACGAGTTTTTAAACACTGCAAGACTCTTGTCAGATCAGCCATTTCAACCTCTGCAATATCGTCGAAGATTCATAAACTGCGATAGGCGGTGACTTTCAATAGACTTTGGCGTTGTCGGGAAATCGATTATCGAGGTTTAGATTTTTTTTTGTATGTGAAAATCATGACTTCAAATCGGTTTTGTTACTAACTCCTAATTTCTGACTAGGAGGAATGATAAATTACTTATGGTTTGTGCTTCTTCAAAGAAGCTCAAAGATCAAAATAAAAGATCATATAAAAACTGTTAATACTCGTGAAACTCTGATATTGATCTTAATAACGAATTTGTAAATTTAATGTGTAAATTATGTATGGAAATAATTGATGACCATCTTTTCTGTGTGTTTTCACCTTAAATTTCTTTTAAGGCATTTTAAAGAAAAGACCAAAAATATTTTAGAAGTATTGCGCCACTTTTTACCACTAATTGTATTGTACTTAATTACATAGGAGAGAAGCCTTTCCTGAAAATTAAATTCAATTAAATATCCTTGTCATACAAAGTTGACCAATTAAATACCGAACACGGAAGCAAACTTTAAATGATTATCGTTTATGCCATGCAAAATATATTAAAGTATTGAAAAATGTTAGATTTTTATCTTTAATCGATGATGACAAAGTGAAGTTAAACACTTTCTGCGATCACGTAATGAAACAAAACTCATTTACTTAAGGACATGAAAGCAAATGAAAGAAAATAATTACAGATTGGAAGATATAACAAGCAAAGTTAAGTCTTAATTGTGGGTGTTTGCTTACCATTTCAAATAGAAAATTTGTGTGAACAAAAGTAAATTACATTTCAAATGTATGTAGGCATAGCGTTATTATAATTCGCTATTTGATTTCATATTTTTAAATGCATAGAATCAAAGTTCAAACAAATAAATCAAATGTTTTATACATGCATCGTAATTTCAAGATGCGTGCTAAAATTCTTAAATAAACGCAATTATTCCTTTCTTCATAAAGACATAATCAACATGTAAATAAGATAATCACGTCACATGTCAATTGTACTAACAAAATGGCGCTCATATCTAACAATAAAATTCTATTGAGGTTTATTACTTTACCACGTTTCTCCCCACATCGACGACTGTTTGCTGAATGAATATAAATAATTTGTTCGTGAAATTGGTCGCCCATTTTCTATAAAACTTGACGAATTAAGTTTCAAAGAGAATATTTAAAGATAAGCAACAAAAATGTGTCGTTGTTTGACAGTCACGAATAGTTATTAATTTGATATTTAGTTCTGTACAATTTTAAATAAGAGTTGATTGCTATTCTAGTTTAGGAATCAGGTACAAATAAAAAAGTTTCCATTGGAAAGTATGTTAAGAGCTTAATTATTGACAGATATATAGCTTGTATGTTCAATAAATGTACAATTTAATTAACAATTATATAAATTACTTCTTGATCGAATCGATGATTAAAACAAGAATGCATGGAGATTTGAATGTTTTAACATTTTATAAAATTTTTAAACAGAATATTTCGAAAGCGTAAGATGGCGTTAGTAGTCCGAACTTGCGTTAAATTTATCAGCTTGGAAATTTATGATTATTAATAATAAAATCACTTGTTATCTTAATTTGCAAGACACTTTTTTTATTTTTGTCACAATTTCAAGATCATCACTAATAATTTAGATAATAATGAGGACTACATCCTAATTTTCGAGCTTCTTTTGACACAAACTTTAAACGAACTTTCACCAAATTTTCATCGGTATAGTTAAATTCCTTCCAATCGAAAGAATCATTATTTGCATATTCTTTTAAACTTTCAATTGTCGCTTCTTCACCAGTTATTTCAATGGACAGTAATATTTCAGGAAACTTCTTTGGCATGCGGTTAGTAAAGCTTACAATATTCCCAATTTTGACAAGCTTGTTGCCGAAGTCCAAGGGGTTCAAATAATTTATTAAACTGTTTGTCGTTCTGCCTTTACTTATATTTGAAGCTCCTTCATTGTGGATTTGTTCATCGCTGATTCTTCTCATTTGCAACATTCTTTGTAGCAATATCAGAAAATTAGCACAATCTTTTTCAAAATCGAACGAATCAATACTTTTGTCAGACCAAATGATCCCGAAATATAATCTGTTTAGAGTTAAGTTTATTCTCAATTTTGCTTCGTTCATTTCACCATTAGAAAATATAAGGTTTGAATGGAATTGACTGTCTTCACAAAGTCCATCACTGCTTAGAATTTTGATTGCATCGAAAATTGACAGGGTGAAAAAAAGTTTCATCAAATTATTTGAAAAGTAACTTTGAGCTTGCTTGTAAAACTCTTTCAAAAGTGCTTCTCTTCCATAAAGAATTTTGTGAGAATCGACATCATTTTGTGACAGTTGCACGTCATTTTCAAATTCATTCATTAACGTACTAAGAATTGGTGGGGCAAATTCATTACTTATGAAGTGTTGAATGCCAACCAACTTTTTGTTCCCATTCTTTTTTTGCCAGTTTATGAATTCTAGTCTTTGACGATCATCAACGAGTAATTTCATGGTTGTATTCGTCGATCGTAGACTGATCTTATCCTTGATGGATAAGATTGGATTCTGAATAATCATTCCGATGATTTCAACTGGGAGGCACTCAAAGATACTTTTAGCATTCTTGTCAAAATCTCGTGACTCCAAACAAACTTTTTTGCTTTTGTAATTTGAGCATTCATTTTTGCGTTTCATTTTTGGATCAAACAATTAATATAAAATATATAAAATAAAATGAACTTCACGTCCTGAAAATTCTTTAAAAAATGAATGAAAAAGTCAAAGTTTACTACAACATTGTTTCATCTTTTTCATGGCTTCTTTATTTATTTATTTATTATCAATCGTCATCATCGCTTTCTTTAATCTAAAAATTTATGCTAAAACTAAACTAAAACAAAAATACTGATTGAATTTGTTTTGATAGTTAGTTAATATTTTTTCTTATTTAGTGAACTAATGAACTTGAATTGAAATTTATAATTTTGAATCAGTTAAAAATTTGAATCTAAAATTATTCACATCGGAATCACTTCCTGATATTATTTCTTCAACACCTTAAAATCAATCAAACCATAATCATTCCGCTCAATGTGAGCGATATTTAAATCGCTTCATAATTGAAATGAACTTCAACACACTTCTTTATCATTATTCTTTGTTCGCGTGGAATTTATACCCGCAATGACACAGACATCTCATTTTATTCACACTTTAAATGCTCAAGCTTTTAAAAATCTGTTCAAAAATCTTTTTTTTTTCTACAATAATCAACATGGCGTTAACTACTCATTGTTATTGAACTATTGCTTGCACAAATTTTAGGTTTTTTTCCACTCTGCTTCATGCACAGAGTTCGTTAATTTGTTCCTCCATTCTCTAACTTTTTTACATCTTCTTATTCATTTTTTTCTGTTGTGTGTGTTTGTGTCAGTCTTAATAAATTGAAATCTTAAACATCCTACAAGTCAACTAATCAGCTAATTAAGAAAATACTCCTAAATCTTTTCTTTTATGTTAATTATCTTTTCCTTAAACTTTAAACCTCACTTTATCACTGTGATATCAGAATTCCAATTTTTCGTGGAGATCATTTTCGTTATCATCTTCACAAAGAGATATTTTAGGAAAAATAAAACGTTTAATGAAAACTGAATTTGATGGATCTCCAAAATTTTTAGTTGTTCTTTCTAATTAATGACTTTTTTCTGCTTTGTGGAATCTTATGAATGTAAAGTTAAAACTAAAGTATTTTCAGAGGTTCGATCTTCATCGTCTCCGTCACTTAATACACGTAAATAGTTTTAAGCTGAGGTTTAAGTTCGGGTGGAATAGTTGGTGCTGGTTCTGGTGCTTTTTTCGACACTAATCGCTTGAAGCGTCCACTCAGCTGCTTTCGGAAGCCTCTCAGTCCCAACTTGTCGCTGCGAACTAACGCATCCTAAAAGAAACAAAAAAGAACAAAACAAAATGACTTTAGTTGAATATAATAATAAAGAAAATTTGTTATTTTTTTGCATTTTACATTAGCGACATGAACAAAGCTTGCATAACAAATCTATTCGCGTGTGACCTTCTCCACTAGTTTTTTTCTTTTTTTTTTTGCACGACAAGGCAACAAGAACCATAAAATTTTGACTTGAACATTTTATTTCATATTTGCACAAATCTAGGAAATGAGAAGAAAATCAAGGAGCGCGATAAATGTTTCGATCATTTGATAACATCTGTTCGCAATTGTTCCAATTTTCATTTAATATTTTCATAATTACAAATATTCTTTGAGAAATATTTCATGCAAAACGTGAATCATCCACGTTCATATCTCATCCAACTTATGAAGATGAAAAAAAAATTCGTTTTCATCATTTTTATGCGGAATATTGCGACTTCGACTTGGCTAACAAGAAGTGGGGATTTTTTTTCGACAAAATTCGTTGAAGAGAGAAATGATTCATCCAGACGAAGAGGAAAATCCCTTCCAGCTGTTTATTCTCGGCGAGAATTTCTCGCTCTCAACGCTTTAATTCAATTAAGCCTTACGTCATATGTACAATGAGATCAAAGTATTTTCAGTCTCAGCTGGGCAATTAATGGGACAAATTAGAATCGTGAAACGACCTACTTTCGATTCTAAAGAAGTAGAGTAACATGGAAAATCGACGACAGAAAATAATGCTTAGATGTTTATTTATTTTTTGGGACAGTCAACATTGACATGTGAACATTGGTTAATTTCAAAAGGCGGAAAACTATCTGAAGTTTGTTTAACAATTGAATTAAGGTTGTGACATTAAAAGAAAATTCTTAAACTGATCTAGACATGTCACAAGATTCGGTTGGCTCCATTTAAAGAATTTAATTGTATCGAAAGTGAAAGAAAAGAAAGTTTTCTTATTCCTCTAATTTCGGTGCCAATTGATTGACTACGACGAGCCAAATGAGAACTTGTGCCGTGTAAATATTTAAATCGCAAATTCTGAACTTCTTTAGTGCGTTTGTTACCACGAAAGAAAAAATTACTTTGAAATGAATTGCGAAGGAAAAAAATAAATGGTGGCGTTAGATTTTTCAATGTTGTCACGATGGCTTTATTAGCTATTTGTAAGGCTTTTGTAAGTTTGCTTCCGAGATATTCGTCTATATTTGTAACTTTGTAATTGACAATATTCATTAAGGTGATCAATAATAATTATTTGATAATTTAAATGCACGAGCACGAAAAATTTAGAAACATGCGGAATTAGAATTCAACGCCACATAGATATCTAATCGAAATATTTTAAAGTTTCTTTTTTTCTCAGGCATTTAGAGTTGAATGAACTCGAACCCTTTTCATTGCCTTTCAGTCTTTTTTATTCCCTTTCAGACAAAAATCTGCTTCTTTTGTTTAATTGTTGCAAAAAAATTAAATTGTTAAGATGAATAAAGGGAGAATTTTTTTAGTTCCAGACAGACTCACTGAATTAATGTTTTTTTTTAAATATATCATTGAAATTTGCCGTTTTTAACTTGCCCCTGACCGCGATGAATAAAAGTAAAAGTCAAGTTTTGAAAATAAAACCTTTAAAATTGATAAGAAATTCACGGTTAAAGACTCCATTTTTCTTTCTACTTTGTTCATGCCATAGTTCTATGAATTTTGATGATAAAACAATTTTTCTGGTACTCACTTGACTATTAGCGTTGTAGGTGTAGAGATTGGGTTGTGGTGGGAGTGGTGGAAAATGCCAAACACTGGAAGGGCTTTGTCGGAATCCCACTGGCTCCACTGTCGTCGATACAACGTGAGTTGGTTGTGTGGCTTCATTGCTGTTAACAACGTGAGATGACTCTTCACGTTTCCTTAATTTGCTGCGAACAAAACGCATCGAAATTATTGCTTCGTTTCTCATTCCGACCATTTTTTTTGTGAGCTGTCGGTTCTTTTTATTTCTTAGGTAGAACTTATTTTCAATGTTTAAGGACGCTTTTGAAAAATTATTTCTTCCTTTCTGTTTTATCACAGTTCAGTTCTCAGTATTTTTTCAACTTTTGTTTCGAGATTTTTTGAATGACTTTGAGAAACTACTGAAATTTTCTTTTGTAAATTTTCTCAAAACATTTGCGATTTTTTTCTAGTTTAATTTTCACAAATTTTTTTAAATTCGTTCTGGTCCCTTTAATTGTTTTATTTCTTTAATTTTGTTTTAAAACTCTCACTTTTTAAGATTGACTAACTCGTTGGTGTAATCATTAAAAGAATAACGATCGTAATGGCACGATGTTCTCTTTCTATCAAACTCTTGAAATAGTTTGAAATGCTTTCGTCTTTCGTCGGTGTTTTATACTCGCTCAAAACGACTTCGATATTCTCAGTAATTCTACGTCATGCGAGAGTAAGCGTAATGGAAATTTTCATTGAATTCTCTGGATCTCTCAACGATGAAGCTCCGAAAGAGCGAATAGCATGTGAACATTCGGTGAATGATAAAGCAAAACAAACTGAAATCATTCTCGACCGACAAATTACTTATTCTGAGATTGATCAGTTCTGTTTGAAGTGATTTCAGCATGAAAATTCTCTCTAAAGAAAATGAACTATTCATCATTTAAAGTTACAAAGGAAATCCAAGATAATTTCTGATCTCTATTTAGGTCCGAACTTTGGACTTCACATTAAATAAGATTTCGTTCAGTATTTAAATGCAATGTGCTTCACAAAGAGAAGATTTTTCATTGAAATAGTTACACAAGCTGCATTTCAAAACACAAAAAAGAAACGAGATTTGTTTTATTGTGGGATTTTCAGAGATAAGCCTTAAGTCGTATTCCATCACTAAATAGAGAGAAAATATGAATTCGAAGAAAACGAAGAAATGACAGAAGTCGACAAAAGCAACCAAAACAAACTGTTATCGTCATCGTTTCGTGATGAAGTGAAAAACATGCTTAGTTAAGAACATTTGCGATCGTCAATCGATTGAAAATATTTTTTAAGCTCTGTTTGTTTGTTTGTGATTATGATTAGCGAATTTCATCAAAAATGTATCAACAATATTTTTTTTCAGCAAAAGCAACGACCGGCACACGCCTGTTCCTAGTGCTTTCAGTTTACTAATAAGATTCAATGAGGTTTTGTTGTTTTCTTTTAGTGCTGATAAAATTTATGGAGCACTATTTAATGGGTCATATTTTTGTCTTTTGGATACTTTTTTGTAAAATCATGTGAAAAGCAATAAAATGATTCAATGATTAATCCAAAACACACTTGAAGTTAAGACGAAGATAAAGAACCAAAACAACTGCAGACTGATTAATTAATGTTTTGGTTAAATGCTTAGAAGTTCCGAGAAAATTAAATCGTAAGAAAAAAACATTATGAGTCATTAAATAAAACCTGTCAATATGACATCTTCTGGATTTAATTCTTGTTTATTTATCGGATTTCGGAAGTTGATAATACAAAACAAGTTTCTAGATAACTCAGGAAATTCGTTGTCTTTTGTTTATAAACGCTTATTTGCTGTCTGTGAATGTTGATAACATTATCACATCATCAATCAGGAATCATAACTCATTTCCGGGGCTTAGTTTCATAATCAAAAATTTGTCTTTATTTATGTCTGCGCCCACCATATCTTGACAATCATTTCATTCTATATTTGTCTCGACAAACTACTGATATTTTTAGTTTTTTCTCAAATGCTCAAAAGCATATCAAATAGAACAAGTTTTTACATTTATTTCAAGAAAGAGACTCACGTTAAACTAAAAAGCTATTTTTAGTTCAACGATTTGATTGAAAAACTTCAATTACAACAGAAACATTGTGCAAGGGTATTTTAAAGTGAAGTCAGACAATTAATCGTTAACGACATTCTTTGCCTTTTCATTCGACATTTAAAGAAGATTATGATTTCTAATGAAATTGATTTCACATTAGTGTTAACTAAGTTATAAATTATTCTTTACACAGACAACAAGGAACTTGAATGAAATGAAATTGAAAGTCAAAATGCCGCCCCTCTTACATACAATGAAGAAAAAAATATTTTGTTATAAGTTTGGGAATCTGAAGGTAATCAAATCCTACGTTCGCTTGCTTCTGCCAACATATTTCTCTTCGAGCGACAATTTGGATCAAGCCCGTTTCCTTGAGAGGATCTTCGCACTGCACGAGTGACATTATTAAACTTCAACAAACGTCTTTGTAAGCCATTTGAATAGCATTCACAGTTTAACTCAGAATAATTAATATTTAGTTGGTTCGTATCAGTAATATCTAGTTTCAGGTAGACAATAAGCAAGGTCTCTAGACGTTACTTAGAAATTTTACTTATCGGGCTTGTTTGTCATAAATCAACTTGCTTTTATTTTTGTAGCATTTTAAATATTTTAACAGATAACTTAAATAAACGATTCTCAAGACTGAATAAGATTTTGTAACAACGAACTCCAAAGAGATTGCAAATATCTTCAGAAATTATCTACTAGAGACCAACCCCCAATTTAGTTAAATACTTGAATAAGTTTTGCCATCTGTTTGACCCACAAAAACCTCTCATCAATGAAATGAAAAAGATGAGAAAGTCCGTTGAATTTCTTTTTCGTTTTTCGCTCTTGTTGTCAAGCAAACAGCAAACAGAAGTGTGAGAGACTTTGGTTAACAACAAGAAGAGCTCTTTGTGTGATTATTATGTTTCTCGGGTTCTTTTCCCTTCGCCCAGACATTCGTTTCTTCCATCATTCCTTGATCTCAGTTTAAGGACAATGACTTCCCCAAAAACGCATGCGAACAAAAACCTTTTGCCTTGAGACATTAAACATTTCTTCTCATGTGTGTTGAATTATGAAAGAAAAAAGCATATTTGAGAGCATAGTTTCGTCAATGTATTAGATTTCTTCAGTTTGATGTTGTTTTCTTTTTCGGCATTTTACTTTTTTTATTTTGTTGAAGATCAATATTTCTCCTTCGTTGGTCACGTAGGAACCAGAAGAGAATACGAAAGATGATTAAAGAGTTCACGAGAGTACGTGATGTCGATCTTGTTTCAATGTCAAAGTATCTCAATGATGAAAAGCGGGAAACAAGAAGTAACTTTAACTGAATATTTGTTAGAGATCTATTTTCTTGCTCTTTCAACAGCAGTTATAAAATATAAGTGGCGTCATCAGAGATCGCATTTGCCTTCAGTCAGAATTATATTGAACTTGGCTGATGTTTCATAAAATATAATTATGTCTGTAGCTACCTGTTGATTGCAATTATATTTAACTGTCTGAGTATCATTCTAATCATGAGTGTATGAAAAAATTGCAAATTAAGATTCACACATTCAATGAAATTTCATGAAGTGATTTTTCAATATTTGTACTTTAGCTTCTTGTGCAAACGCTCTCAAAAATAAACGAGGCCGTTTTTAAACCAAGTAAATGTAACACACGATCTGAAAACTTGTACATGTGATTGATATATTTATTTGCAATTAGTTTATGTGATTCATAAACACTTTCTCGTTATTTTTGGGTTTTTTTTCCAATGCGGAAAGAGAGTTTCAAAACTCTTTTTTCTTTGAGTGATTGTTATTCATTTCCATAACTTTTCTGTCACTCACCAACAGACTTTGCCCCAAAGAAACTCGATTTCTTTAGAAAGTAAAACAGTAATTATTTATTCATTGAATATTAATGAATAACAGACGCGTGTTTGAGAGTTCTGCTTCTGAATTTTAGAACGGATATGAATTTGCTGTCATTGTTTATGCACTTTCGTATTATTTTAGATTACGCCCGACACGAGTCAAAATGTGTGCTTGTTCATCATAATAAAAACTTTTTAAAATATGTGTAAATTGTCGATTTTTTTACCTTGTCATGTACAAAATGAAGTAAATTTCCTCCATGGCTGTGAAGTTAATTTAATAAAGCTGCTGGCAAAAATGTTTCTATTTAACAATCCTTGATGAGGTGACAATTATACTTCAATTTATTTTAGACATAAAATTGCCTACTTTATCTGAACTTTGGATCAGTGAACACACAAAAACCTTCTTTTTATTTTTTTGCTTAATCGACTTTTTTTGTTTTGCTTAACTTGCGATTCGGGCTGTGTTGTTAAGTCACTGAAATCCTTATAATTCGATTTATTTCTCACGTGATTATATAAAACTTTGATCTGAAATTATTTTGATTTTTATCAGTTGGACTTCCCCTTTTCGTACGTGCCACTGAAGTCGTTTTCTTTTATTAATCTTCACTTGACTCGACCAAGAGATAACGTTAAACTGGCACATAAGATCACAACGGTCTCTCAGTTATATTTTCTTCAAAGTACCCGTTAACTCAATACTTCATTGAGTTCACAACCGAACAAGACATCGATCTGCAGCGGATTGAAGCAGATTTTCAAATGCTGTACAACTCGCAGCTGATTCACGAGAAGTGTAAAAATGTGATCACCAACTATCGCAAAAAAAAGTTTAGTCAAAACGCGCTAGTAAACTCGCATACAATCTCACTAATGCCACAAGAAATCAACATTTCACGGCAAAGCAACAAACTTATAGCAACAACAACACGTTCATGGATACAACTAGATATAGAGAGCAGTCACATGTGCTTGTGTGCTTCTCCATGCAAACATGCTTTGAACATGTCTACATTGAAATCATTGTTGCCTCGTAAAACATTGGCAGGCGACTAAAGTCACGTAATATTAACCAGTGATTTTTAAACTTAAACAATTTCACTTTTGCCATTTCATCGACTTACAACTTACTATCAAAAATTAGCAAAGCATAAAAGCAGTTTGCTTGCTTTCTTGATTGATTGACTACTTCATTGTATTTACAGCAATATTCATTTAACAAAACGTTACAAAACCAATATAATCAAACGAATGGTGCTGTAAATACATTCAAGGAACCAATGAATTAAGTATGCAAGTTACCTAGCAAGATCTACGCATCCAAGTAAACTTGCGCTAATTGGCAATGACACATCGGTTCGAAATTTATGAAGATGGAAAAGCTCGTGTGGAAATATTAACAAACTTTTATTATCAAACAAAGAGTCATGTGAATTCGGTTATCCAAGTGATTGCCACGGATCTATTTAATGATCTGAACTTTATTGTGAAGAATAACAACATAATATGAACTTCGAAGTTAAACAATTCGTCAAAAGTATGTAATTCAATTTAAGTCTTTATAAATTAAATTAAAGTCTGTTTAGCACCATTTCTTATTTTTCTCAAAGCTTATGACGCATGCGGTAGCTCAACAGGTGCTGTTTTGAAATGGAAGAATCACGAAAATTTAATAATTACAATCGGGGGAAAATTGTTATATCACGAATTTGTTAAAAACATTTAGTGCACCTTCGTTTAGATTAAGATCTAAACAATTTGTTTGTTTTTTATTTATTTGAAAGCTTTTTAGAGGTAAACAAGACAAGATTGTTTGAAGATGGAAGACGAAACATTTCTACTCATTAGAGGCCCGACAACTTGAAAATTTCTGTTTTCCTCATCCTTTAGGAAAATCAAACAATTTACAATAAAAAATTCAATGTCAAAATTGTTGCGTTATTGTGTCAATAGATAATTGTGGAATATGATCAAAGTAATTGTTTTGACGGAACTTAAAACCAGAATCGCGTCCTATCAAATTCATGAATGTCTTTAAACGCCGTTGAAGTTGAATGAAACTAAAATCAAAATATTATATATCTAGACTTAAATTTGATTCCGTTACAAAGTTTTGCACACAATCGTCACTTGACAGACCAAATTGACATTAAAAACGAACTACCGGGTTTGAAGTCGTATTGGAGATTATTTAATTTTATTTCATGGGTAATTAACTTTACCAACCACAGACGATCACTTCGTGTCGGCGTGCTTTACAGGATCGAAATTCAAATCCTTGATTCAAACTCTTTTCAGACTTCACGCGTGTAATTTCAATTATTGTGAAACAATTCTGATGAGAGTGCATTCGCGTTCATGAGGCTCGTGTTTTCATGTCTGCATTTGCGTCAATGAAATTGAATAAGTTTTTAAGTCGAGTTTAAAGCTTTTCCTTGAAAACCTACTTCCAACGACTCGACTCATTGTCTAGTGATATTCAGGAAAAACTAGTCAGAGATGTCAACAATCATTTATTGGTACACGATTCGAAATGATATCAGGAAGAACAGAGAAAGTGTCAACGTTCAAAAGAAAACCCGGCGTGTCGTGTGCCACTTTTAAGAGGTAACTCACTGGCATCTTGCCCAGTTCAAGTCGTTTAATCTCATGCAAGTTTAAACTCTGAGAAAACTGATTTGTAAAGTACTCCAAACTCGTAGGTGGAACAAGAAAATACAAAAATATATTTAGATGTTCACCGTTGTTTGATGACTTTTTGTTTCTTGAAATGTAAAGTGTCGTCCGCCTCGTAAGACTTTTCAAATATACTCAAAACTCATTGGATGATCATTGGAAATTTTTTTGCGATGTGGCGTTCTTAAAATAAAATCATATGATAGCACAACGAGCAGCTTGTTTCGTCATTATTTTCTTTCTAATGAAGATGAACGACTGGTGTCCTTAGAAACGAAAACGAGTTTAGCATCATATTATACAATTAAGATTCATAAATCTTTCTCATTCGCTTTTTATGCAGATATAAAGAACGCTCTTCTATTTTGGTAGAAATGTCGGAATTTTATTATCGAAAATGAAAACGTTTAAAGTGCGAAAAATCTCGTCATATCATCATCGTACAATGGACTTTAGAATATCAACGTCTGACCATTAAAACAAGTTTATCGAAATGATTTTTGATCTACTTATGACGTGATAATTTATCATCATTATCAGTTGGGAGGTTTAAAAGATTAAAACAAACGTTTGACACTCTGAACCTTTTATTCAAATCATTTCCTTAAAAACTTTTATAATAAAAATGCTTTGGGATAATCTGACCTTGTTGGAACTTTATCGACGTGTTAATAATGCAAAATGCATATTTTTAATTAAAAACAATTCATCCATTTCCTAGATTGTCTCTTAATATTTTTAGCAATAAAGCTGTGATCGTATTCAGTTATTTCAAGCTTCAATCAGACGACAAATGTCCAAAGCTTGAAAAACTTGTAAAGAACTTTAAACTGTTCTATATGCTTCCTGATCTTGATTTATCGATTATCGATCACGTTATGATTAATTAATAAATTTTCATTCATTTTCACGTAGATACTTAAGTAAACTAACAAGAACAAGAGTTTAGAAATTTTAGATATTATTATGAAAAATAAGAAAGTTTACAAATGATCTCAAATTGTTTAATAAACAAAGGCAAAAAGTAGATTTGTGGGTGTTCTCTCTCAGTCACAGTTTGTGATCAGCTTTATATAAACAAAGAACTTAAATAATCAATGAAGTGAGAGGTTATTACGGGAAAAAAGCAAGTTTGCAACACAGCACAAACGTTTGAGTCAGCTGTGTATGATTCTTTGCAAAGTAATCATATTATGATTAATAAAAGAAGTTGATTAAATCAGCTGTGTTGCATATTTAAGCTTTAAAACCGGCGCTTACAAATTCTTAAATAACAAAGTCAAAAATCTAAAAAAAAGAAATGTGTTGCTTAAAAATGTATCCAAGGTCAGGTTTTATTTATATTTCTGAAGTACTTTTCGCCACTAAATGATCAAGCGAGTTTTTTGTTTAAACAAGTTTGGGATTTCATGATTTATTTTAAATTGTACTTTGGGGGTCTGTCTACATTTTTATTAAACATAACTTTTTTAATATAAAATAAAACTTTTGTTGGCTTTTGCTGAAATAAAATCCCTTGGTTTCTTATGACTCAAAGAAAGCAAAACTGTTGAAAATATTGCACTTTGGAATTATAAAATATGTTAACATTTAGTTGCATAATTTCAGTATTCGAAGGCAAATAAAATAATCTTTGAGTTGAACTGATTTGTGTTTCATATTAAAATTTCTGATGACTCTTCGGAATATGAAATCTTTTTTTCAAGTTCAACGACTAAGAGAAGAAACATCGAGCGTTTTAAATATCAGAAAAATACTTATTTTTATATAAAAAAACTGCGGTTAGCAACAGCAAGCTTGAAATGAAATTGGCATAAAATGACACATTTTGATGTTAATTGAATTTCAGAATCATTAATAATTATTTCAATTAGGTTGTCATGTAAAGTTTATTGTATTCAGTATTTATTTAATAATTTTTAATGATTAGATTCTTGACATGTTATATAAAAAGATGAAACTCAGCTTCTCCCACCTGATTAGAAAATTTAATATAAATATTGAAATTGATTTATTTATAGCTTACTTAGTAACTGAAAACAAAATGAAGACAGTTTAAACTTAGATAGTTGATTTATGTGAATAACATTTATGTATAAAGAAATATGAAAAATGTTTCCCATTGACTAAGCAATGAAATTGACATTTGCATGTAGGTAAATGGGACAGCATAACCTGAATAGCTATTGAAATTTAATTACCATGTAGAAAGTCCAATTTCATTAAATTTTAGAAGTTTTTTCAGGAATTGCACGTAGTGAAATTATTTTGAATCATTCAAATCAAAAATATGAAATCTTATCGCTCAATTTCCGACTTCATCAAAAGCGTGCGTTTCAAATTTGACACATTTTGTTCTCCCATCAATGAGATTCTCACTATCAATTTGTTTATTTTATAATTTTATTTATAATTCTCATGACTTACTTTCGCATGTTTATTTTTAATTTGAAATGAAAAATATGGGCTGATCTGTATACTTAGTGACGATGTCGATGTTCTTTTCAATCAATAACTTGGGGGTCAATAATATGACGTTCAGACTGTTGCTACTCAATGCTTGTAAACATCGTTTGTGACGTTTCACAATAATAGATACTAATAGATTGTATTTCACTTATTTTTGTATTTTGAGAAGACTTTTACGTCTTCTGAGTTTTGAAACCTCGAACTGAACTGCGTTTTCCCTAAACATAAACACAAAAGAAAAGTCAGAGAGAACTCACCTGATTGTTACTGCTACTAAAATTATAATAATACCAACTGAAAGCATGGCAATGATGACACCTCCAATAATGTACCAGACATTGTTGGGATCATCTGAAAAATAAAAAATAAAAATGGTTAATTGACAGCACACCATTTTTGTAGTCAGTCTTATCAGTGAGACTTTTTCACAATTTGCTGCCTTTAAAAATAAAAAAAATTGGAGTAAATCAAACATATGCTTTCCACGTGAAATTAAATCCGTAAAGCTGACATAATTATCAGCCTTTTTATTTATGCGAACAGAAGCTTCAGTTGTTCATCAACCCATGTTTTATTCATAATCCCAGTTCAGAGGCCAAAATCGAACGTTGGCTTATTATCCGCTATAGATTTCAGAGAAATGGATCCATCAAAGTTATGACGCAAGTTGTGAAAAGTCAAACTCACACGTGAGTTTAGAATTGTTTTTAATCTCATAAATATAATCAAAAGTGTGGATTGACGTCGAATGCGTATATCGATACTTAAGATTGTTTGTTTGAAAATGATGAAAAACATTTCCCAGAATTTAAGATTTTTCCTCATTTTCTCCGTAATATCAAATGTTTTTAAGGAAATTGAATTAAAACTTCGCAGTATACAAGCGTTATGATAAAATAAACAAATGTCACATGTGCGTGCCTTAATTTTGATCATATTTACTTGCTTTATGACGAATAGGCTTGAAACTTATGAGACCCATAACATCGCAATTGTTTGTTACTTTAGGTTAACACCTGTACATATAAATATGCAAAAAAACAACTCATTAAACTTATCTACACGTCATGATTGCCACTAGTTTCTTGAAAATAAATTTTCTGGAAACATCTTCAAGTCAAGTGACAATTTTCGCAGTTTTATCAAACATTTTGTATTCAAAAATTATCTAAGTAAATGACTCAGACAACTTTATTTATCTAATTGAAAATTCAGAAATCAAAGATCAAATAGACAAATCAACAACCTACACTAATCAAATGTGTCATTTGCGATCTGATAATAAAATGAATTGACAGTTTCGCACGCAAGACTTTCGTCATTGGCAACAAATCGCATAAGTTCTCCTTTACCTTATTTTTTGAAATGAAAAAACTTTCCAATGGAAAACAAATATTTGCGTTGTAGAAATATTTAAAAGCAAAAATTCTTATCTTCAAGAAACAATATCAAAGATTACACTGAGATTGAATCTGCGAGTAACTTTTCTCCTGATTTAATTGTAGGTTTTTATGTTTCAATAACAGCAACAAGTTGTCAAGCAGAAAATGAAGCTGTTTTGATGTATGAGAAAGAAGAAAGAAATAATAAATTAACGTGATTTGAATAACATAAATATTTGTCAAACACATTCAATGTCATACCCTCATTTGATAACAGAAATAAAGTGAGAACAGGTGTAGGAGAAAATAATCTCAGTCATTAATGTAAACATAAAACGATAACAAAAGGAAAATTACAGAAACCAGATTCCAAAAGGTGCACTGATGAGAACAATGAACTGTCTTCTGAAACTTCTTATGTTTCAAAGTGATATATTCCTGGTTAATGACTTACTGGAATCATAAGCGCACATGTCAAAAACAAGAGCCAGACGAAGTATCAAATGTAGATGATACTTTCATAAATATGGTTTCAAATAATTTCATGAAAACATATCGTTGATAGACCTTGTGCATGTCGAGTATTAACGTAAGTTGATTATATTATGACTTGCATTTTATGCGATAAACTGAAAGTTCATTTTTCTTATACAAGTCTTTGTAGAAATTTGAAGCGACATACAAATTGAAACATTTTACAAAGACACCAGAAACAAACTTATTGAAGCTAAGTAAATTATGAATGAAATAAACCTTAATTGCTTTGATAATCATTAGCCTACTTCTAACGACATGGTAACAGATTTTATTTCTGTTGTTGCTAAAAGAGAAATTTGAGAAGTCGCTAAATATGTTTAATTATTCGACAAAAAAATAATTTAATTTGTTAACGTATCGAAAAAATATAAATTAATGTAATTGAACTGATTGAAAGTAAAAGAAAATTGATGAAATTTGTGACTTACCAAGATGTGATAGTGAGGATAGTTCAGAATCTGAAATGAGATAAACAAGAAAAAACAAAAAAATATACAATGAGACATCATGAAATGTGCTTTTGTGCTTATAATGTAAACAGAATGAAGTGAAAAAAAAGCTAAACAAATGATAAAGTTGCTAAGAAATTCCACTGTAAAATATCACACAAATTATAGAAAAAGCTCTTTAAGTGTATCATGAAAATGTATCATTCAAAAGCTTATGAAAACTTTAGACTTGAATGCTTGATTTTCGTTAGATATTTCGCAAGCAATTTAAAATTCAATTTTGTAATCTTTTCAGCTAATGTTGTTTGAAAAATTTAAAAACGTTATTTTTATGAATACTTACCGGGTTCATTTAAAAGATCAGTAATGTTATTAGAATCTACGTCACTCCCGTCTCCATCAGCTGAAATAATAGAAAAAAAGTAATTTTTAGACGTTGTTGGTACAAAGGAAATGATTGCATACAAATGTAGCATCGTTAATATTAATCGAGTTTGTAACAATCGAGTTTTTACGCAGATAATTATTTCAGCCTTAAAACTTCTTGTTTATGCTGCGGAAATTAAGTTCTAGAAAGATCAATGGACGGAATGACCAGTACAACTTCAATCTTTTCAGTTATACTTGTTTGAGTCGTGTCAGTAAATAGCTCAAGGTTAAAAGGCTATCCACACACCTGTGCAGTGCTTACGTTTAAAATTCAACACAGCTAATGCAAGAAAGTTAGCAATCGGTGAGAAATCAAGTGTTACTGGATGTCGTTTTTTTCAACTTGCACAACAAGTATGGCAAGAGTATGTTAAAAATCTATCCAGACGTTATGGGACCGTTCTCACGTAACAAACACAACACCTTACCACACACTTGCACATTAAATATTCAACTCATTTCGCAGCGAAGTCATGATGAAGAGGTAGAAAAAAATATTCCAGAATAAAAAAACTCTTTCACCTTCATTAAGTAAAATTTGCATTATTTAAATAAGATACTTATTGAAATGTACGACCTCCCAAGCCCATCTGTTGTCTAACAATACTTAATGACAATAAATCTGTAACATACGTATATGTTATTTAATTATCTAAATACTAAGAATCATGTGCTAAATGTTTAAATACGCAACACGAGGTTGTGATTGATGGCTTCAGTTGCAATCTCCGCAAATTTCAGAATATTCTTCGTTACAATCGAAAAAATAATTATCAGCTAATAATCTTAGTAAATATTGCTAATGTTATGTCACGTGATGTTAATTTTCACTTCATTATTATTGTTTGCTTGCTGTTGGTCTGTTAAGCAGTGTCGTGCAGGAAAGCCCCATAATTCTCGTTTTGTTTTGAAAAGTTTTAAGACGTTATTGAATTTCTAGGAATTTTACACGGGAATTTTTTGTGTTCTGATGAAAAAATAACTACAACAAACATGAGTCATCAATATTTAGCTTTCACATGAAGCCGTAAAATTTTTTATAAAGTCAAACAGCGATTCGCGAAGTGCAACTTGTGACGAGATTATACAACGTCCAAGCTAATTTATTGTTTTTTACACGCTTACCGACTGGAAGTACTATACACGAAACTGAATTTAAACAACATGAAGATGACAATTTCATAGCAAGTCATAAAAAAAACACGAGAAATATTTTATGTCAATTCTCTAAAAATCCCCGACGTAAAGTTTGAACATTAAATTAATTCGTTGAAAAAATATTTTTCAACTCTCAAAACTTTCGTCGAAAACAAGTCCAGCGTATCTTCCCTTCCATTTGAACAAGTTTTTAAGAAAAAAATTCATAAAGAGCTTCAATAAGTAATTAAAATAAGAAGAATTTAAAAATTTCACAAACACATAGATATCAACTTCGATGAATTAAAATTCCTCACAAGACGAGAAAACAACAAATGAAGTTACGATGAGAAAATTATTCGCAAGATTTTCTTGATGTCAAAAAACAATTCATAATCTATACAAAGACAACACATTTCTTATCATTCAAAGTTACAATAGCTGTCAAGACAAGGGCGTCAAGTGTTTCTTTATCAAAATGCTTGGAGCAAGTACTTCCCATATCGCAACTTCGTTTTTAATCAACTCATGTCATTAACATGAAAAACAAACTCAACTTAAACAAGATTCTAATATTACCTATTAACTTTAAGCAAAAAATAAAATCGTGTTCAAAACAAGTGAATGAGTAATTCAATTGAGAAATAAATTCAATTGACATTTTAAATCACCGCATAATTTCATCATTTTCACGCTCGATAAGCTTGACAACATTTGTCTTTTAATGGCAACCACACTCATGTCACGAACAATACATAAGATAAGATATCAACAGAAACAATAATTTATAATGTTAATTAACTTAATTTAATTAGTTCCCATAAAAGGGAAATTTCTTATTATGGCAATTAAAAGCTTTTTTGCGATGCAAGGAATTAAATACTCAGCGAAACACAAACATGTGTCATAATTTTTGAGTAACATCAAAACATTTTTTACTCTCACCTAATCGTTGTTTTCTCTTGCCATAGTTAAATGATGAAGTCATTCATAATTTTCTAACTATTCATGACTACACATTCAAGAGTAAATAATACTATCAGCATTTGATTAAATACAAAGTTTACATTGTGTTCATTGAGCTTAGACAACATCGAGTGTTGTCAACAACCAATGAATTTTCTATTAAAATCACATGATTTTAAAGTTTTCTCGCACATATCATATGTGAAGTTGTGTTCAGAAAAGGAAAATTTTCCATCATTCACAATTGCAAATGCATTTAAACACCATCATTGTTGAGTTTATAACTGTTATTTAGTCATATGTATGTACATTAAATTAAGTGTGATTCTAGCTTTAGTAGCCGTTAAATTAATATTTATTTAAGTGCCAAAATCAAAGGCATAAATTACATGCGAGCTGAGAAATTGAGCGTAGCTTTTTAATTTTCCAGTATTTATTCAATGCTTTCCAACAGTTTGTATAAATATGAGCTCAAGGCTTAGTGTGGTATAAAAGGAAAGGGATTTTAAATGTAAATACCGCATAACGACTTTGCTTAGTGTCGGTAAATGATTCAGAATGTCGGATTTAATGCTATAAAACATAGAGATAGGTCAGTTAAGTATGAATGAACTCTCGTGGATGTATTAAGCAATTTACATGATTTTAATGACGATGTTGGGGATTTTATAACAAAAAACTGCCAACAACCAACGTCAGAGGTTTCTCAAATTCATATAGTAATATTCAATAAACGTTTATTGATTAATTAAATGCATTTCTATTAGTATAAAAAAGTTTTTAACAATTAAGTATTTAATCTAGTTTCGACTAGAAACCAGAAAATTATTTGTGGCGCGAATAAATTTCGCGCAGATTAGCATAATTTAATGAATTGATTGATCACGACTCGTCGTGGCAGTACAGTCAAAAAGTACAATTTTGCTTCCTAATTTTTACGATCACTGCGACTATTGCGGGCGAGAAATCTGAAGTTAAAGCATTGAGAGTTCATTTCCTATGTCAGAACCGAAAAAAAAAACATTACTGCAAATGTATTAGTTGTCTAGTGATCAAGTGAATTAAGGTCATTTGTTGTGATTGATTTTACTTCCTCTAATTTCTCATTCATTCATGATGCATTTAATAGTTGGAATATTTATTAATGACGTAAATTACGCTCCAATATTGTCGAAAGATTTTCAATGGCGGAGAGAATCATGTCTGAATATTTTAGTTATGCTACTTTCTCTTGTCTTTCTTTCTTTTGGTTGAAGTAACTTTGATATCGACAATTTTTCAATCATGCACGAAATAACCAATTTTCCCGTTCGATCCAAAACTTGACTTGTGTGAGTATATTTTACTGGTAAAAAATAATTTAGTAACTTATCTTAAGTAAATATTAATGTTTGATTCGTGATTCATCAAAAATGGAATGAAAGAAAGTTATGTATTACGAAATATATTTGCTATTTAAAATAACTTGAATATGATCACGTAATGGCAACATGTCATGTTTTTTATAGGACTCGTCTATTTATGATAAATATAAATTTTATTTTACACTCACAAATATTTCGCTTTAAGTCTGAAAGCTCAAATAAGAAAGAAGATTTTGTGCAAGTTTCAAACATTTTACCTTTCACGCATAAAGCAAAATTAATCATGAACATCATCTCGAAGATCGTCAATTTTTTATGAGAATTGCAAAGCACAAGGGAAATCCCCTCAACCTTTCACTTTTTTCAGCAATCATTTTTCAATGAACCTTAAACCACACAACAAAAGCGCAAAACGATGTATTTTTGCGCACATGACACAAAACTGTCAAAGTTTTCCTTCAAACACTTAAAATGAAGTATGTTTTCCTTTTTTCTAACCTTTATCTGCAGAGTATAGGTTGCGGTTGAAGATTCACCTTACTTCAAATCATTTAAACATCACTTTTAAATTGATCGCCTCACAATGTCGATGACTTTAACATATAAGAGTGGACTTTTGACTTGCGTAATACATGACTGAGTTACCCACATTCGGTCCAAGCTGAAATGTTATGCATCTGTTTCAGTTATGTAGTCGAACGGTTTATTAAATGTTCGTATTGATACGACATGGCCTGGCACTGAAATTATATGTCTTATATGCGATATACTGTTTATTAAAATAAGTATTTCTGTTTTCCAAATGTTTTTCATATTGCAGGTAAAAAGTTAATTACTTTAAGACATTTAAGATGAGTTGAATTTTTTGGCTAATAGATTAAGGTTGAATAATGTTTATTCATCATTAAATATTGACATCAATGTTAAGCTTTGGTTTGATAATTGACGACAGGACAATCCAAATTTAACCACTCGCTAAAAACTTGAAGGCAACTTCATAACAAAAATGTCAGGTAAGAAAATCAACTTTAAAAATTAATTGAGAAAATTTACCGGATTTCCGTTTCGGAATTGCTTTGGTTAGTAAAGAATGAGATGGCTTGGAATTCCATTCCAAATTTACTTTTTAAATGAATGAGACTCGCTGGAATGTAAAAGAAAGTGAAACTTTTCTTTTCAATGTCTGTTTTTATTAGAGGAAAATATTTGGTAATGAAAATCAGTAAAGCAACTTGAAAATTTTAATTTACTCAACCGAGGAGTTGCGTAATCTTGAACTCTTTGAAAGCTTATAATAATTTAACTCGATAGTTAATAATGAGGCTTTTTGTAATTTAATTAAGTGGTGAGTATAACAGTTGCAGTAAAGAAATTACTTTTAGTGAGACTTTTATGTGTGCATTCAACCTTCGTTCACCTTGGCACAATTTTGATCGTAAATACAAAAATTACATTAAGGATTTGCGAGACGAGATGTTTTGTTACAGTGATTCAAACTGTGTCAAAATGAATTATTTAATTGCAAACGTAAATAAAACTGCGAACAAGCGCATCAGTCTATTCGTCATGAGAATAATTTTTTATCTAATTTACTAAACGCCTTTATTGATTAAAGAATTGTTTTGATTAAATACCTGAGAATGACTTTCGAAAATTGTTTTAATCTTACGAACAAAGCATTTCAGAATTAATCGAGATAAAATTAATTTAAGTTTAATTTATTGCGAGATCAAATTGTTCTAGAATTTCTAAATTTTTTACGGTTTCAAAGTATCAAGGAAGGAAGAAAGATCGTTTGAGTTGTTAAGTTTGACTTTTCATTTAAACAGATTCTTATTAAGCAACACACGTTGTTGAGTGGTAAATACTGAATCATCACAATCTGTTAATTCGATGTTAGCGAATTTATTTTGATACAATAATATGAACTTTGAATTTTAGTGAAATCCCCGTTTATGGCTATTAAGATTAATGAGATTCCATTGTTATGTATTACAATTTTGATTGACATAAATCAGCAATTATTTGCAATGACACAACATCAGCGTCATAAAATTCTAGGAAATTGTTATTAAGA